TTATCGGTGAAGCAGACAAAGACAGACATGAAATAACATCTTTATTCTTTTAATTTCCCCCTTTTATCTTCCTCCTCTCTCTATTGTCCTTTCTTCTTCACCTTCTTGACTTCCTCCACCCACCTGCCACTCTCATCTCTCTCTCTCTCTTCTTCTCGCCTCCCTCTCTTTCTTCTCTCCGTCTTCTGAGATCACATTTTCAACCTGTGGCGACCACTCGCACCCAAAAATCATCGCTGAGCCTTAAAAACTTTGGAGCCGAAAGAAGAAAAAAGATAACAAGAAGAAGAAGAGACGTACAGTAAAGACAGCCGATCATGATTCACTCAAGTAAGTACCTGCGCCGACTGTACAGCATCTGCAGATTAAACTCTTAAGAATGAACTTTACCTTGAAGAAGGGAATTTAACTTTCTGTAAACAAAGTATAGGAGAAGAAACATGATTTTAGCTCATCTGTGGAGTGAAATGTGGGAAAAACTTGCGAGAATCTACTGAAGTTAAAGGAGAAAATGTGACAGAATGAGCCGTCAGTGTGTATCAGAACAGTAAAGAGTAGTTATGTCTGTGTGAGTAAAATACAGACTCACATTAACTTCGTCAACGTTAACAAACACCTTCACAAAACTACCATTAAATGTGTTCGATCCTAACTCAACAGCTGAATCTGGAGCGTTTTGATATTGTGACATGCAGAGAGGTGGAAAACGGAGACTGAAAGCTCGTGCAGAGACACCTGTCTGCAAAGTGGCCGCTCTGATCTGCTGAGTACATAGAAACAGCGAGCAGATAAAAGTGCAGTTTCAGTTCTGTTTCTCCTGCTGGCACCGAGGGACAGTTACCCAGACAGGAAGTCTTAAGTGGCCGAACCCTCGCTCTCTCAGAAACGGAATGAATTAATCATGTGGTATACTCCTAAAATATGTCTTTGAACTAACAACCATGCTAACAGCTCTGTGAGGCTGTACTGTAGCCACTCAGCTAGATGCTACCACTAGCATGCTCACAATAACAATGCTAACGTGGTAGTGCTAACTGGGGCTGTACAATCGAGCGTAGTGCAACATCAAACTCCCAGGTAGCTGCAGTTGTTTTGAGAAATGTAAAATATCCAATAAAACAGCATTATAATAAAGTACTGTAGAGCTGGAGAGACGCACTGACAAACAAATCTGGTTCTCCAGATGTAAGAAAACATGTTTGTTTGCTACAGACGTCAACAAAAACACTGTAATCTGTCAGAATATCATATGCAGCCCTGATGCTAAACTTGTTTAACACTTTAACCACCATCCAAAGAAAGAACAGCGCCTCTATTTTAAAAACATTTTATTCTCCCTTCGTCGATTCTTTTGAAACAGTGAAAACACGGATTACTGGAATATCTTGTGAATGGTGGGTACAGAGTTAATAGAGACTAATGTTTGCAGCTGAGGCTGATGGGAATGTCTTTAGTTTTGCAGAAACCAAAGTTAAGATACAATTTAATCCCGAGAGGATCGGGAATGTCTGCACCGTAGTTCAATCCAGTGCATCCATTAGATATTTCAGTCTGGACCAAAGTGGTGGATCGACCATCAGTAGTATCCCTAGAGCGGTTAGCATGGCTAAAAGTGAAATATGTGTCAGGAAGTCCAGTTTGAGTAACAGAGCTGTTAGTTTAAAGGTTATTCTGTAGGAATATAGTTGATTTTTAAGTGGTACAAAATACAATATCTCCCTCTGTACTGCAGTGAAGTAACTATAAAGTAGCATCAAATGTAAAAGTACAGGTAACTTAAATTTATACTTAAAGGAACAGTGTGTTTAGGATTAAGTGGCATCTAGCTGTGTGTCCTTTGCTTCACCTCCCCCTCGAAGCACCATATCAAATACAGTGGTACAATGTTCCTATGTACAGCCAGCGTCTGTAGACAATAACAGCTCATTCTAAGGTAACAAAAACACAACGATTCCTATATTCAGGTGATTAAACACTAATTTAAACATCCCTATGAATATTATATTTCTGCCAATAAATCCTCCTGAATGTTACACACTGGACCTTTAACCTTCCTGATTTCACAGGAGTCAAAGGTCCCATAAAAGGTATCATAACTAATAAATAATAAAGACGTAATTCTTTGCAGCTTCTTTCCTCACTTAGTAGAACGGGATGCAACCAAACTTTGATGCTCATCTGTTGCTTGAGTTGTGACAAGAAGATGCAAGTAAGAAGAAAGTCAGACACAGAAAGGTGCACAGAGAAGCCGATCAATTTTCAAAATAAAATACTCCGTGCAAACTCCAAATAGAATTTCACACTAGATCAACAATGTGGCAGTCAGAGGCAGGTTAGAGGAGATTTTAATTAGATATACTTTATTAATCCCAGAGGGGAAATTGTTGTTTTTCACTCTTTTTTACACACAAACACACACACACAGGCTGAAATACACACTTCATGCACTTGTGGACATGCAACAGGGAGAGAGATGGTGGATTGATACAAAAAGAGAGAGTGATAGGGCCCACGTTAACAGCCTACAGAGCAGCCTGGGTTAGGTTTCTTGCTCAATGCACCCGGGCAGTCACAGGGAGCTGAAACTGCACCCTCCAGCTACTAGTCCCACACTCATTTTTATCTTGGACCTAAACTGGCGACCCTCCGGTTCCCAAGCCAAGTCCCTCCCCACTGAGCTACTGCCGCCCCTTTCTTAAACGGAGAAACACACCGTTTTGTTTCCTCTATAAGGGCAAAATACACAAGCAAACAACATACGGCAAACAACACGCTCTGAAATGCTCTCGGTGAGATTTTAAGATTACAGAGAACAAAACACGTAGCAGTCACCATGTTAGAAAGCCTGGTGTAGTTTCTGGGTTAGCCATTGGTCTCACCAAAATGTTGTAGTTATCAGCAACATACTTTTTAAATATGTTAAGACAAAAAATGTTTTTGTTTATTTTTCTGATTCGGTTTTGAAATGGAAAATCAGATTAATCAGATTTTTTTTTTTAAACAAGGATCAGTCCAAACAAAGAGTGGCTGTTTTATTCCAAAGCCGAGGACGAACAATAACTAATGACAAAATCTACGACCACCGACCCGTTTGTCCTGGAATAGATCGGCCCTCCAGGAGTCTTCCTAAACTTCTGCATCAAAACGTGATCAAAAAGTTTAAAAACTATGTAAAACTTCGGGGAGATTCTCTTGTAAAAGAACAAATCCGTATCATGATACAGATAAAATATAAGTTAGGAAGTTCATAAGTTTTTAATCTACCAGAGGAGGAAGGAACTCCTCGGTTACAAAAACACCAGAGAGTTTATTGATGGGATGTCGGTTCACCACAAACCACCAGAAGTGTTCATCGCTCCTCATGGCACGACTCATGATGATGAAGATAAACCCTGAAATCTGCTTTTATTTTGGAAGTCACCTTTAGAATCACATGACTGGTTTACAGTGTGTGTGTGTGTGTGTGTGTGTGTGTGTTTGTAGTCAGACACACACATGAAGAGAGACAGGAAGATAGGCTGCACACACACACACACACATATTCTAACACTAACAGTGAGAAAATTACCTACGCACAGCTGTCTGTTCATTCGCCCACAGAAACACTCACACGGACTTACAGAGAGAGAAAGAGTTCTGTAGAAAAGGAAACTATACTTCCTGACAAAGACCTCCTACTCAAAACCACAGAGGCACAGAGAGAGAGAAAGTTCATCTAAAGCAGAACTGAGAAACAATAACTGTGAGAGATGTAGAGGGGCTCTAATGTTTGACCCTTATCTGACTGTGACAGGTGGTTTGTTACACAGAACCACCTTGGATGTCAGCGTTGGAAGTTGTTTGGAAAAAGTCAAAAAGTTTAAGAAAATACTTGGCATTGGATCAATGAACTTTATAATGTAGTAAAACTCAAGAGAAACCTTCAGTGTCGTTCTTTGTGGTTCTCCAGTTCTCAAGTGATGCTAAGAGCATCTACGCTAACCTTTTTAGCAACCGCCATTGTTGTTTTTGAGGAGTCACCTAGCGTTAGTGTGAATCTGACACCAGCCATAAGTTTGTGGAGAACCGTTTTGAAGCCTCGAGTTTGGCGTTAAAGTAGTCGCCATGACAGTTTATTGGAGCTAGCAGAGGTCACGTACTGCGAGTTGAGCTGCTCTCATTGGCTGCGCAGTTTCAATTTGTCCGTAGCATGAGACAAAAGGCGGCTGAATCTCGTAATACAGATAAACAGTAAAATATGTTGATTGTATGATTTGAGGTGATAAATAGTGAACGCGGTAACAGAATCTGGATGCATATTTGATTTGATTTGGTTCTGGACTTGGTCACTTACCTCGAGTGCAGTCAGAGGTTCCCGGAGTTCAAGACTTCCACCTGAAGATGGTGAATAAGAAAAAATTGATTTGTAGACATGTTTTTTAATCACTAACTCTTCCTCTGTTTTCTCCTCCAGATCACTCCATCCACTCAGTCTTCTGCTGCTGCTGCTGCGCCGTACAGACCAGGTACAATCTGAAAGGTGTTTTAAAGGGTTTATGATGAACAATTAGATTTCCTAAAGGTTGTTCAATAGTAAATAAAACTTGAAAACATCTGTATGGTCCTTTTAAAAGCAGAGAATTTCAATAATTTTGGACACTTGATGAGATTTTCCAGACAACAAAGACATAAGTTCAATATTTATAAAGCTGAAAACAAAAATATATGCCACCAAAAAATTAACCGATTGATTTCAGGGAGTTCAGCACCCGAACGGAGCTGGAGGGAAGACCCTCCCTGTGTTTCCAGAGCAGACGATACCCAGGAAATGCCTGTCGGGTAAGACAGAGTGTGTGTTTGTGTGTGTGAGTGTGTGTGTGATTTATATTGATGGGATTTGTATTTATGTGTTAATTTTCTGTCTCGTGTATCAGGTCGACAGATCAAGGAGGAAGCTCCCCCTCCCGCCTCCTGAGGATGAGGATGGTGAAGGTGTGGGGTTGCTAACTGTCATCGCCATGTACGACTTCACCGCCAAGGAAGACACTGACCTCACTATCAAACAGGTAAACACACCTACACACACACACACACACAGAGATGAAGCAGTAGATGTGTGGTGATGCAGTGTTTCGTGTCCACAGGGAGAAGAGTACATCATCCTCCACAAACAGGACCAGCTGTGGTGGCGAGCGCAGGACAAACACGGGTCGGTTGAATTAAATATAGTTTATACAAAACAACCCAAACAAACAAAGGTTTTCCAACTTTTTCAAAACTGTTTATCAACGTCTAAAAGTCTGTCAGTTGATCGATTCACCACTTTGGTGATTAATAAACCTTTTTCACAGCAGCCATTTTGACATATTGACAACAGTTGGGTAAACAGAGGTCAAACAGAGTCAGGGTGCTGCTGTTGTGCAAGTTGATTCACTGGAACAGAATCTTAATTAGTATCATTGGTGATATTTGAGTTTACCCTACTATTTCATGTCAAAATGACTGCTGTGAAAAAGGTCTATTGGCCTAAAATTGGGCTTGGACATTACATTTTTCTGTCAGGATGAATTCTCTTAACTTTGGCGATCTCCTGACTTCTCATTTATATATAACTTTTGTTTTATTACAAAAATACATGCAAAAGTAATGACATTTACAAATGCTAGCATTCTAACTTGCTAAACCCAGATGGTAAACATTTACACGATAAATTCTAGCAAGTTAGTATGCTTGAATTATTTTTTTGTGCTGCTGTTCGTACTATATGTAGCCCTTTTAAGGCCTTTACACAATGGGGATCAGGCTGACAGAAGTTTTTCATTGAAGAGTTGAGTCTGAAAGTGTTGCTGTCTTTAATGCTGATCGTTAACGTTGCCTTTTATATATTTCTAACAGGAATAAAGGCTTCATCCCCAGTAACTACGTGACAGAGAAAAACAGAATTGAGGCAAACTCGTGAGTCTTAAATTGCAGTTTATATTTTTTCATCTTATCTTTGTAGAACATTAAAGTTTTTAACATTTTGTATCAAACTGCAGTGATATTGAAATTATAAAAACGTTTATTCTTAATGATCAAAAGGCAACAATTAAACCATTAGTTGTGTTTTCCTTCCTGAAGGTGGTACTGCAAGAACATCACCAGGACAGAAGCAGAGCAGCTGCTGAGACAAGAGGTAACTACCTGAATCTCTGGTTCAGCATCTGTTTGTAGCTGTCTGAAAGGAAACAGCTCCTCAAATGTGATAATTAAGTACTTTTCTTTGTCTCATGCGATCATTTAAACTTAATATCTTGTGGTATAAAGACATCATGCGGGACTCTGGAAACTTTTGTTGGTGAAGTAAAAGTATTTGCTGTTGTTTTCTAGGACAAAGAGGGTGGTTTCGTGGTGCGAGAGTCTAGTCAGAGTGGAGTCTACACAGTCTCTGTCTATACAAAAACATTAAGGTGACTCACATCACAGCTGAGAAAAACATCACAAATTCACATGTAGAGTAAACTTTTACCTGTAAACTCAACTTTTCACTTCTCTATCTGTCTGTGTGTGTACGTGTGCAGTGCTAACGGTGACATTAAGCATTACCAGATCAAAATAAATGACACCGGACAGTTCTTCTTGGCTGAGAAACATACCTTCACCTCCATACCTGATGTCATACAATACCATGAACACAACGCAGCAGGTACAGACACTTGCACTCTTTGTGTAACAGGACAACTCTGCTACATGTAATGCTTCATTTTATATTCTTTGGTATGTGTTTGTAGGTCTAGTGACCAGGTTGCGGTATGCAGTGGGGCCAATGGGAAGGTGTGTACCCGCAACAGCAGGATTCAGCTCAGGTAAATAAATAAATACAAACACACATTTATGTCCTAAACTGCTCTACTTTTTTATTTTTTTTATTTTACTTTGCAACATTCACAAAAAAAAATTAAAACCTGCCGTGAAATCAGGTATTTTAGACATTATTTACATTCCCAGTTTATTGCAGCACAAATCAGCACCGTCCCTTGTGTCCCCTCTGTTTTGCAGTTGCTCTTAAGCACCTTAAATTAAGCTTCGTACTGAAGTTTAGTATTAAAAGCTGCAGAGTAGCATAAAGCGTGTTTATTTGCAGACGACCTCTTGCTTTATATCTCAGATCCTGTGGGCTTTTTCCCTTATCTGTTTGGTCTGGGTTTGTGATGTAGGAGGTAGATGGATGCCACTTTCAGTTTGACTTATTTGTTGTTTTCAGTACTTGAACTGAAAACTTGTTTTCAAGTTAAAAGTACAGTGAAAATATGTTTGTACAGACATTATATTTTGCTGTGTGCATATTCTTCATTAGATTTTCTTGTGTTTTCTTTAGCAGTTGTGACATTTGCGTAAATTCATTGCCTGCTTTATGTTTACCTTGCATTCATCATTTATATTTAGTCTCACAGCGCCCCCTTTTATAACTCCAGACCCACCAGTTTGGGAACCACTGATCTATTGTAAAGCTTCAACACATTTGTAAATGGTATCTCCCATTTGCTATTATGTAAACACTAAATGTGCATGTGAACTGTAATAAATAAGTCATCAGTAAATTTCTTAAAGAATTCACAATTCTCATAAATATAGTCAGTCTCAGTTTAACTTCATTATAGGACTGCATGATATGGTACAAACATATTGCAGTTATATTGACAGATATTGCAATTCTGATATGATTCACGATTTGTGTGGGAATTATCATTATTGCATCACAAATTTATTTTTCATTGAAAATTGTGATAATGTGTTAAAAAGTGTTTTGGAGTCTAACAAACATGTTTTCTTAAATCTATAGAACAAGATTTGTTTCTTCAAAATTACAGTACTTGCCACTTGTAGTGCCATGTAATAAGTACATAATATAATAACGTTCTTTATATAGCACCTTTTAGAAAGTGCTTTTACAGATAACTCAAAGTGATCGCACAAAATGTAATTAAATATTAAATAAAGAATATCAAAAGAAGAAAATAATATATATACATGGAATAAAAGTAAAAAGTAAAAAGATGACACCACATGAGATTAACCCTAACCCTTGTGTTTCTCTTTCTGTTTGTACTATACCTCCCTTCCTCTTTTCTGTTCATCCTCCTCCTCCACCTCTCTCTCTATATTTCCCTCCTTCCAGAGAAGTGGGAGATCAACCCCAGCGAGCTGACCTTCATGAAGGAGCTGGGCAGCGGCCAGTTCGGTCTGGTGAAGCTTGGCAAGTGGAGGGCTCAGCAGAAAGTGGCCATCAAGGCCATCAGAGAGGGGGCCATGTACGAGGAGGACTTCATTGAGGAGGCCAAGGTCATGATGTAAGGAAGGGAAGGGAGAGGATTCAAGGAAAATATGTAAACAGAGTAAAAGAAACTCCCTTGTTGTCAAGACAAGGAAGTGAAACTATGTGTGTTTGCTGTGTCTCCCAGGAGGCTGTGCCACCCCAAACTGGTGCAGCTGTATGGTGTTTGCTTGCAGCAGCGCCCCCTGCTGATCGTGGCCGAGTTCATGGAGAACGGCTGCCTGCTGAACTTCCTGCGGCAGAGGGGAGGGACGCTAAAGGAGGCCTGGCTTCTGTCCATGTGTCAGGACGTCTGTGAGGGGATGGGGTACCTGGAAGCACATAATTTCATCCACAGAGACCTGGTGAGTTCCCGTGGTCAGGCTGACGGGGGTGTATATTCAGCTGTTTCTTCATGTGTCAAACTGCTGATTTTTGTGGCTGCGTCAGTGGTTCAGGTTCATATTTGTCTGAGGTTTTTGGTTGTTTTTCCCTTATCCAGGCAGCCAGGAACTGTCTGGTTAATGAGCACAATGTGGTGAAGGTGTGCGACTTCGGAATGACCAGGTACAGCTGCCAATTTATATGTTTTTAAATTTTGGGAAGTTTTAACTCACTTTCTGGCGGGAAACCAGATGAGAAGATCAATACAACTCTCATACCTGTCCAGAGCCAGCAGCTGGTTAGCTTAGCTTAGTATAAAGACTGGAAATGAACACATTTTGTCTTGTTTAATCTGTACAAAAACTAAAGTTATGGTTTGTGGGGGGTATTCTGTGCTGGACTAAACATCACCATGATGTTACTAGACAACAGGTTTTCGTAGGGATTAAACAAATGAGAACCATGCTTTCAGTCTTTATGCTAATCTAAGATAAAGCCCAAAGCTTCCCAAAATGTCAAACTACTGACTACTATAAGTGGATTCCAAACTGTTGAAATGTTGTGGTTGAATCTGAAAACTACGAATCCTTCAGATGGAATATCCAGAAACTGAACTACATCTGCAGAAAGTGGTTTCACTGGGTGTAAATTTGAACAACTGTTACAAAAG